ATCTTCAAATAAGATCACATTATGAGTTACCAGATGTTGGGACTCTAATTCACCTTTTGGGAGGGAGAAGGACACAATTTAAGCAATAATAGAGCAAAAATCTATGGGACAAAATCCCTATTTCAATGGGTAAAATAGTAATAACTAATTAAACAGAATTGTCTATGGCTTTATAACATCCAAACCATTGGTTTCAATTCCTACTCCCCCAGTCCTTCTATACCTAAATAATTAGAAAATAATCATGTTCCTTCATTCTCTTTGGGAAATAGCTAGAAGATGTAAGGATAAATAGAAATCTACAAAAAGCAATTTCCCTGATGTTAAAAGAGAAAGAAAACTTCATTTCTTCCTCCTTTCTTTCCTAGAGCATTTTCTTTAGAAAACTTGAAATTGTAAATCCCTTCTCTGTCTCTATGAGGTCTTGAAAAGCTTGGAGATAACCTATAGCCAGTTTTGCATCTCAGGACTGTCTTTCTTGGACCCTTGAATCCATCTTTCTGAAAGACTAACATAAAGCATTCCTGTCTGTCTAGCCCTTTGGGAGTTTAGCCTAGGTACCTAGCTTGAAATTTTAACTTCTTACTTGTTGAAAAGGTATAAGAAGTTTTATTTTTCCTCTGGATCAAGATAGTCAACATGTGTTTAAATGGTTGCATGTGACTAGGATATATAACAAGATGTTGGAAGGAGAACCAAGATGGCGGCATGACTAAAGCAGCGGAAATCTTCTCCCAAAACCATACATATTTTTTGAAAATACAACAAATACAACTCTTCCTAAAAGAGAGACCAGAAGAGACAGGGCAACAGCCAGACCACATCCACACCCATGAGAACCTAGTGCCTGGTGAAGGGGGTAAGATACAAGCCCCGGCCCAGCGGAACCCAAGTGCCCCTCCCCCCAGCTCCCAGCGGGAGGAGAGGGGTGGGAGTGGGGAGGGAGAGGGAGCCCAGGACTGCTGAACACCCAGCCCCAGCCATCCGCACCAGAGCGCAGACACAGTGCATGCGTGGGGTCCTGGATACTAGGGAAACAGGACAGTAAGACCTGTGAGCAGGTCCCCACAGCCAGCGCACCCAGGACAA